CTTACGCACAACACTCGCCAACCCACGGACTGACTGTCGGTACGCTGTGGCCGCTGTGTGCGGGCAGCGTGATCATGACCGGCCCTTGCCAGCCGTCCGGCGACTTTCTCTGGCAATTGACACATAATTGAACATAACATGACATTATATGATAAAAAAATATATAATTGGCTCGGGAGTGCTCGACTAAAATATGAGATGGCTCGGTAAGGCCTATATGACACCTCCGAGTGCAATATATCACTAAGCATGGACTAAGCTGAACAATTTACACATGATCTCTCTAATATGATCATAAAATATTTAATAGAAGGTTGATATGAATATTCACCTTCGATTGCTCGTGAAATGGTGCTAAGCTTCGTGCTCTCGCTCGCGGCCACTCGGTAGTGTGCGTACCCTTGTGCCCAATGTCCTCTCGGAAACTCCCGTGCACTTCACCTTCCCGTGGCTCCCTTGACGGTGGCTATTGCACAAGCTACTCTATACTACTTAAGGTCACTTTAACTAAGCTCAATCTAAATAATAAAAGTACACTAGCTCCTTCCTTTGGGTGAAAGAAATTCTCTCAGCAACAAGCTTAAATGTTGTCGGTAATTTTCTTTAAATGCTAAGTAAATGAGGAGAAAGCTTAGATAAAATGAATTGAACTACTATACACCACTTACACGAGCTTTTTATAAATAATGAAAAGAGATTGAGCTTCAGATAAGGTTTCATGGGGACACTTGTCCTTATACGAACATTTAGTGGCAATTTGGAATGTTGAAGCATGCAACTTAGTAATACTATAGGTGGCAAGATCTCATAACTCCACTAACTTAAAAATCTTAACTAATAAAAATTGTTAGAATTTAACTAACCTTACTACTATAACCTTGGCATTATGAATTAGGCATGGCAAAAGATACACGTGCACATGACTTAGGTTTTTATGGTGCAAAGAAATATTCTTCACTATACCAAATGCATGTGTTATAGATGATTAGGAACCTGACTTCGAAATTAATTCGAATATTACCTTGACTTAACATCATTAATTCCAAACTCATTTATTATATAAACGAATTGGAATTAAATCTGACAACTTATCCGGTTATTAAAATAATAAAACCGAATATTTTATCGACTAAAAGTCGAACTTAAACTGAAACTCAATAACTGGCTTGAAACTTAACCTTGACGATTAATCAAATATCCTCTATTCAATTAATACATCAATACTGGATTAATTAATCCAACTTGTTGATGTTCATTTATTAAATAAACGAACTGAGATTAATTATTATCATTGACTCGGTTAATAAAATTAACCGGATATTTTATTGACTTAACGACGAACTTGGAACTTAACTAGCTGAATAACATGGACTTGAACATTAACATGAATATTTATTAACAAAGGCTAGCTTTTACTAGAAAGCTAGTATTTTCTTTTATTAATAAAATACGGGGCGTTACACCAAGTGGTATGCAACCTCATAAGTTGGTCTTAAAGAAGAATTGTTCAATAGTGTTGCTTCATAATTTAGATCCAACAGAAGGCCTATGTAATGGAACGAGGTTGAGGTACAAAAATTTAACTAGAAATATCATACATGCACATATAATTCTCGGCGACTTTGCCGGCAAAGAAGTATTTATACATAGAATACCTTTAGAGCGCCAAGTGATGAACAGTATCCAGTTCCTTATATTAGAGTACAATTTTCTGTACGGTTATCATTTGCAATGACAATAAACAAATAACAAGAATAGACTTTGGATTCTGTAGCGCTCTATTTGTACTAGTATTATTTGGAATTATTTTATTTATTTTATTTCGTTCGAGATTATTTTATTTCGTGCTCGATTAGTATTTTTGTTGAATTACGTGATAGTAATTGCCTAGTTGTGTTATTATTATATTTTCGTCGCGCCGGATAAAACATTTATGTTTGAAATTGTCGAGCCGAGTGGGACATTTAGCTTTGGCAAGCCCCGCGACCCGCGCTCGCCCGAAGCCGCGCCCCACGCTCGCCTGCACCCGCAAGCACGGTCGACCCATCGACCCCCTCTTCTCTCTTTTGCATGCATGTGTATGGCTTTTGAATTTAAATTGTAACTTCCTCCTATTGTCCATGTTAATTTCCCTTAATGTCCATGATTAATGACATGGAGGTTACACTTTAAAACTTTATGAAGAGAAGACCACCCCTTCTTCTTTCACTTCCCTCTCTTCATCTCTCTTCCACTTCTTGAAATTTCGGAGCTCTTCCACTCCCCTTCTCTCATTTTTCTGCCAGAATTTCTTACTGGAAATGCTTCATCGCCATAGTTACCGGCTCGCAACCACCGCACGTGCAACACACGCCCGACAAATTCGACACCGCGAGCACGCCGAGACAATCAGCCATCTTTGCACGTTAAACGTCAATTTCACGTCCACGAGCCACCGAGGGACGACATCTTCGCCGTGCGAGATGCCATTAGACACCGAGCGAGCCAAGCGGAGGATATCCCCGCACGTAAGAGCCGAGCCACAACCACTCCTCGTTCGTCCTTCCCTTTTTGGTGTTTGGTAATTTTTACTAAACTCCTATATATATATATATTATGTGTTTATATGTTCAATTGTTGAATATGTGCTTTTCATGAATTAATTATTATATTATGATTAATCTGGATAGTTATTTTATTGGAGTATTTTAGATCCATAAGGTTTGAAAGTGAACCTTTAGTGCACGTTTGGTTGGGAAGATGAGATTGGACAATTTTTATCTCTAACCTTAGGATTACACTGTTTAGATTGAAATAGTTCGTTGTTTGATAGACATGATTGGAATTTTCGATAAGCTCAGATAAAAAGCCATCATACATTTGTTTTGCATGATACACATTTAGATTAAGTTGTGTATTGACAAAAATACCCCCTCTCCATGTTAATCCACCCCTGGTTATTATTCTCACTTTTTCGATTAACACCTGTGAAATTGGAAGAAGACGAAAATGGTATTCTCTTCTACAGCGAATACCTCGATCGTGCGTAGGTGGAAGTTGACGCCGACCTCCTCGACCTAACAATTCTACTATCGATCTGGTTGGGGGTGAGTTCTATCTATGGTGATTCATTATTTTAATTTGCCCTAAAAAAATCAATTTTGGGGAAAGAATGCAATTATTCATTCAACATTTTTGTTACTGGTAGTGGTAGCATTGTTGATATTGTGGTGTGTTAGTGTTAGGGAGCCTTAATACAAATGTTCAATGAATGATTGAAAACCCTACTCAATTTTTCTTTTCAGAGCATGTCACATTTATTGGATTTTTTTATTAGATTCCCTGACTTGAGATTCTTGTATCTCTTCTTCTTTTCATGTTTGTTATTATATGACTGGCTGTAAATATTGTTTCATAATATACTTTTTTTTTACCATACACACCCTTCCCTCCTGCTATATAAATTCCATCCCATATGTAGTATTCCATAACCAACACATTAGTTAGACTTGACAGTACAAAATAGCAAAAATGCCTCATTTGTCTGTGTTAATCACGCCAGAAGAGTGCTTGTATGATGAACATTGGACGAAAGATGCCGACAATCTTTTTATTGACCTTCTAATGGAGTTGAATGCTTTGGGTGATTGGAAACATGGCAGACCCGATGATACTGGTTTTGATTATTGCAGGTCGGGTATGAAATCAGAGTTGGACATGAACTTCACTCTACGTGATGTTGAGTTGCGTTTTGACTTTCTCCACAAAAGGTACCGTGTTTTCAGTTGGATGCTACGCAAAAATGGATTACGGCATTGCGTTCAATCCTACGTCTTAACGGCGCCCGTAGCTGTCTGGGATGACATCTTCGAGGTAAAAATTCTTCCCAAAGATTGATAGCATTTATTCTTCGTAGTACATGAATTTATATTGCATTCAATTAATTGGTAATTCCGGTAAACATTTGAAATGTGTTGTTGGTTTTGTGTTATGGTAGTCCAACTCTTTCAGTGTGTCCTACCAACATTGTGGTGATCCTCGTTGGAATGAGCTTAAGTACCTTTTCACTTCGGTATATCCAGCATCACCTATCTCAGACAATGTGCAAGATTTTCATTCCACTAACCAACTTGTTGACCCAGAGATCGTAGAACCAGCATGCCTTACATCTGAAGCGCCATACAATCAAGTGGTTGTTCATTTTCCCACTGGAAACAATTATGACCCCTGTACAAGGCATCGAGAACGTGATGTGTATTCTGAATGCTCAGCTAATACTCAGGCACATGTCATCACTCCAAGGCATGGTACTCGTACTCCATCGCGCATTCCTCGGCCTCCACGCAAGACTGCTCCATCCTCGTGCAAAGGCTCCTCCAGTGAACCTCAGATTTGACAACTAACACTTTATATTAACGGTCATGTTTATTGTTGTTTTGTCGGAGTATTGTACGTTATTGTTATTCTCTTGTTTACATTTGATCTAAAATGTGTTACTTTTCATATTTATGTATGAATGAATGGTGGGTTTGTATTGTCTGAGATTCCACGTTTCTGATATATTGTTAATGATCGTTACTACATTTGTCGAGCAATCTCTGTTGATGAATCACATTCACTTACATAAAAAGGGAAAAATAAAACATTTGTGGTGAATGACAATACATACACAAAGCTTGAATTATAATTTACAAGAAGCCTGCCTGAAGCACATTAACATATAATTTACCAAAATATGAAACTACAGGCGACAAGCTTAACTTACTAACTTACTAACATACCAGTACCACCAAAAGAACTACCAACATAAGAGAAAATTCACCGACAAAATGAAACTACACCCGTTCTATGCAACATCCTTAATATACCAACATACCACCACAAAACCTTGCAACAAAAGATACCGACAAACATCATGATGACACTTGCAGACATATAATATTAAACATAAATACCACATACAAAGACTAATAACAAAAGTAGTGGTCGTCATGTCTAGAGAGATGGTAATAGTTGTGTTTTTAGTCCTCCGAGTCCAAGCACGACTCAACATCGCTATCCATTTCCATTTCCTCACCAAGAAAAACAGGTTGACCATTGATAACATCAACGGGGGCAGGTGGTGGCGCAACCGGTTCTCCAGCTTCATCAACAAAAATGACATCCATATCTTCCTCATCGGAATCATGAATAGACTCTATGTCATCCAACTGAATGGGATCAAGTATGGATTTACCGGGACCTCCCTCCAAGTCAATTTCTGCCGCCTCACGTTCGTCGAACACCTTGACGCATGCATAATACCAACGGAATCCATTCCAGTGGAAGTAGACCTCACGGTCAGTTTCCTACACACATTGTTGAAATACTCGTGCTTTTAGTGCAAGATTGCGGTACATCCCTATATGGCTTAATAATAATAATAAGTTAAAAATAAATTCATTTCTGTTGAAAAAAAGACATGCATTACCTCTCCAACATGCGCCCAGTAGGCTTGATTAACACTCACTATGCCACCATCATCGTGAACCATGACTCCGGGAATAGCGAGGAACACTGAGAAGTCACGATGCATAGTTCTAAGGCGGTGGACCTTAGCTCGTATCATGACTAAAGAGAAATCTTTTTGGAAGACTTCAGATAAACGACGTACGAGACCATTCCACAAAGAATTGAAGACATGGGCCCTGTGGATGTTGGGTGTATGACGACATGTCCTGAAAAACATTCGGTAGAACACTGTAATGCCCCATTCGATTTATAGAATTTTTCAGGATATTCTATTTATCGAATAATATTTGTAAGGATTATTTGAATTTATTATTTATTATCTTTATTATTATTCGCCACGCTTTTATTTTGGCCGTAGTGTTCGACATTTTTCCCTGTTAAGCTTATTAAAATTAAATAGATGTCCTCGTCTATTTAATTTTTCTAATTAATTCACCTAATTGAAAAATTGAGATTTAAGAGGATGTCCTTGTCTTCTTATTCTATCTTTTGTGCTTTTGTTTTATTTATTTGTCCAATTTTGTTTTTAAGTGCCTAAATTTATAGTAGCCAAATTATGTGCCTAAGTGTGTTGTACTTAATTGTGTTATGTGTTTAACTTGAGTATTTTGACGAAGTGTACTAAGTACACTAAAAATTCGGCCCAATTCCAGCCACTTTGTCTTAACCCCAAAACCCAAACAGTTGGGCCCAACACTTTCCATTTCGACCCAAAGAGATACTAATGCAGCAGCTTAACGTTTTCCCCAAATTCTCAGCTTCGCTCTCTCTCCGAGCTCACCCACTCTCTCGCGAAACTGCAGCGATAATGGAGAAGTTCTCCCCAATTCTTTCGAGCAGGTACAACAAAATTTAGCCATCCACTTTTAAATCGATCGAAACCCACTTTAATAGCCCTAATTCTTACCTTTGTTTTAAGTTCTTCAAACACCATCGCCCCTCATCTCTTTACTCCTTAAATTCCCGCCGTCTCTCTCTCCCTTCTCGACAGAATCGAGCAAAATCTGACCGGCCCTTCACCTCCGGCGATCGAACAGCATCAGGGGCGGACCAAGAGGCACCATTTTCACCAGCGACATCCTGCCTGCGAGCGAAAACCCAACGACCCGCAATTTACGACTTTCGTGTGGCCGAGCAAATCTCTATGAAGATCATACGTAGCAGCATCTTCTTCCTTGCGACCTCAGCTAGCGAGTTTTCGTTGGTCATGGCGAACAGCAGCGGGCGAGCTTTCAGGCGATCATCAAACAACGATCGAAAATGCTCTATGTCCAGCGATTTGCAGCAGAAACGGGGTTTCTTGAGCAGCCGAGACAAGCTCCCTCACGGCTGAACTGAACCAGATGTTGGACGCGGCTCGTTCGGACGAGTTCTTTCAATGTCGTGCATCGTGTGTGCTCTGTTCAGCCCTCGTGCAAGCAGAAACCCTGAAGGTATTTGACAAAATGCTTTTGCGAGCAGCCCGACTATTTCCAGGGGTGGTCTGGGGGTGTTGTCAACGAACCAATAAGTAATCGAGGGCTACCGGGCTTCCGACGGACTACCGAACCGATAAAGTAACTCGGGCTGAGTGCAACAACAAGCTGAGCCGTCTGCGAGAGCCAACCGAACCTCTCGTTCGGGTTCGTTTCCTTTCTGTTCACCGAGCAGCCAGATTCTTTCTGAGAGCAGGCCGGGGGTGTCGTTGGCGAACGGGTGTGTATCTGAAGGCCACCGAGCTGAGGCGAAACAAGCATCTGATTCTTTTGGTGATTGCGTTCGTTTTATTCGACACAAGTTATATCGGTTAAACCGACTCTTGAGACTGCTTGGAGTTGATTTCATTGATGATTATCTAATTGGTTATGATGTGCTGATTGTTGGATATTGAGATTCTTTTGGTGTGTAAATTTGTGAAATTTCGAATCTTAGTATTGTGCTAAACTTGGGAGATTGATAATGAATCTGTTGAATATATATGGTGTTTGGATTTTGTATTAATATAATGGAGAAAAGCACTAGCATATTTCTTGTTGATGTACTGCCTTCAAGCTTTTGAGAAATTGATCTTTGATTTCATGTTTTAGGATGGCAGCAAGAAGGTGTTATTGAGTTATGTTTGGGCTTACTTGATTGAGTTGTGACTGACTACTGATGTGTATTCTATTAGTGCACAACGGTGTCGTTTTCATGGTAATGTGTGCTTAGTTCATCTGTAAGCATGATTAGATTATTAGAATTTGAGCATGAATTACATATTGTTGCCTTTATATATTTGGAAATTGTTGTTATGCTTTCTGAGGATTTAGATTCGGGTTTTGGGCCTTTTCGTCGTGTTATGATTTGATTGAAGGGTGATAAGAATGAGAGCTTGTTATACTTGATGGTTTGACCTTGTTTGAAATGAGAATGTGAGCTAATTTTGGATTATTATGGGCTGTATGTACCAATTTGAAAAAGCTTGCTGCTAAGACCTTTGTTATGTGATTTGATTGGCCACATGATCCATTTAGTGTAGAAGAGAGATTGGTTGTTTTCTTTTAACTTATGAATTGAGTAGCATGCATTATTTAGTTTAGAGAGTTGTGAATTTTGTTTGTGTTTGTCTCTCTTAATTGCCCTTATTTGCCTTGATTGTTGGTTTGGGTTGTTAATCCACCTCAATCAAAAACCTATAATAATAATTAAACCCTAATTTGTAGATTAAGAGGAGTCGAACCCTCGCCCTTATTTGATCGTGTGTTCACCATCAACCTCTGCAGTACCAGGTGGGTTTTATTGAAAAAAAAAAAGTTACTATACCTTAAATGTTATTACTGTTTTAATTGTGGTATGATCAAGGTATGCATGTGAATCCTGTAGCCTTCGATGTGAGCTGTATCGGCCGTCGAACGGTTATCCCCGTAATTGTAAAGCAAAACCCGTGGGGTTTACTCCTACTACTGGCATCGATAGAAGCCCGATGGGCATTCGGTGTAGAAGCCCGAGGGGCATTATACGTATAAGCCCGAGCATTCGATAAAAGCCCATGGGGCATTCGATACGTCTACGAGCAGTAGTCTATTGATATAGGTGTGCACATGAGTCTGATTGTTGTGATTATTGATGGGAGAATGGGGTAGATTATTGCTTCGTATACATGCTGAGACCATACCTTTCGATTGATGATTACTGTTGAGAATTGACATTAACATTTATCGCATAGTGGTGAGCACTACGGTTTCCTATTGTGCTCATCCCCACCTGCTCTTCATGGATGCAGGTTAGTGTTGCTGGCACGATTGAGGGATGCGAGTGGTGGTCATAATGATTGTTGTTGCTTCCGCTTGACACTGAATTATTGCTATTATTGTTTTACTTGTGTATTGATATTATTAATGGGGAATGTTTCTCCTAAGGATTTATGATTATTGGATCGTTCGGATTGATTATCGATTATTGAATTGAATTATTGTTGGATTATTGATTATTGATAAATGAGTAGCACCCCAAGTAGTGAATTGAATATTGATGCTGTTTTGAAAAGGAGTAGCACCCCAAGTATTGTTTGTTTTTAAATAACTTTTGAAAAATTTATCCTGAAATTTGACAAATAAAAATAGGGTGTTACAAACACAGTCTCCTCATGTTCACTCCACCCCGTCCCCCGAGAGCGCGTCGCTATTTGTTCTACATGTGAGTTTTTTTTTCATCCTGACACACTGGTAACACAAGCAAAAAAGTTTATTACTTCACAAAAATATATTAAACATTTGAGAGAAGTTAAACAAAAATGCAAGTATTGAAAACCTTTGGAGAGAAACTTTGTAGTCGGTTTCTGTGAGGAGGCCAAACACCATTTACATATAATGTGGATGATGGTAGTTTTTAAAGTAATTAATTGTTAGGTAAATTTCTAATCACATAATAAATGAAATCAATGAGTTACACTTAACTTGTCAAACCAAATTTGTCTTAAATGTACACATTCCTCTATAAACCTACAAGAAAGTGGCGGTTACACAAGTTGATATATGAATTAAATTGTGTGTGTGTGTTTAATCAAATTGAGTAACATCTGATAAAGTAAAAATGCATATATAAGTGTGGCTGAGTGTATTTTGTATTATGTAACGGATGTGAAATAATTTGTATTGTCAAAAATTTTCATTACCAGTTAACATTGGATACAAAATGATACAACTAATTTTCCATCCCGTGTGCTTACGCAAAGCCTTGAACAAGATCGGATTCAAAATCATACAGAGATTACTTCATTACATTATCTAATACATAGGCAAAACGTTTCCTAGCATAGAACCTAGCCGTGTCAAACATGTTTGAAATGCAAATTCATTACGTTACACCAACTTCACAAAACTATCAAACATGTTTTGACTTTCTAGAGTTACGGATATTTAATTGTACTTGCAACAAAGTAGGAAAATCAACAATAGTGTTGACAGACAAATGATAGCTATCCACAAGAATTTAATAAACATCTTCGAAGCAGTGAAGTCAGTCTGAATCTCTTCAAGCTTTCGCATCGCGACGTCCAACCGGACCTCTGCTTCACTTTCTCTACGCTTGTATTGATCAATTTCCTTTCTAAACTTATTCATTTTGTCCAACAGACCAGGTATAATGTTCCTGGATCTTTCACATATCTCTGGATCGAACCACTGAAAAAACCCACAATAATATGCACTCTACAAAAAAAATTGTTGAAGCATTAATAAGATACACATTTTCAAAACAATTTAAATAAAGCCAAAAAAAAAAAAAATTAACATAAACAGTGCACGAAAATCAAACTTTACCCCATATTTGGGGCATGCCCAATATCGCCTTCTTGGATTTCTTGATGTCCAAGAGGTTTTCAAGTGCACTGTTTCACGACAATTACAAGTCATAGTCATCCTATGCACCACATCATTCCTATAAGTGGAGCTGCCATTTGACGAACTCATTGTCCCACAAATTTGCGCAACAATATGAATCCTGTCCCTCCAACCCCCCAAAGGCCAATGTATAATGAGTTTTTT